AGAGAGTACCCTCGACTGGCCCATGCTGGGGCCAGGACCAGGACGGTCAAAAGGGCCAGGGGCCCACCACGAGGGATGCCCAAGAGCCGGGGGCCTGGGGTCCCGACTGGCCTGGAGGTGGGTCAGGGCTGGTAGCCAGAGGTCCCGGGGGGACCACACCCAAGAGGGGAACATAGTTTTGGGGGGCTAGGTAGCCTGAATGAAGGCGGAGAGGCCGCCTGAGTGGAGGGATCATGGAGGGGTCCTGTTAGGAGGATTCTGGGGCCCAGTGTGGGGGCGGGTGATTATGTGAACATCAAGATGCCATCTGCGAGGCTTGGGCTGTGGTATAGAGGAGGAAAGGAGCCGCAGAGAGCGCCTCTCTGGCATCGGGGCACCAAAACAGGTAGCCTCCCACTTAATTGACATCAATTAATTAATCAATTAACATCAAGGCGTGGCGGGCGAGAAGGCCGGTAGTTGGCCCAAGAACAGGTGGGCGGGCCACGGAAATCGGCCCAAGTAGGCCCCTGATATAGGGAGTAATGGGATTAAAACCCCCAAAATAATATGATTACTGTGATCATCCTGTGAGTAGTTTTTTTTAAAGTGTTGAGACTGGTAAATTTAGAACATATTGAATGAGCTACACAGGCTCAAAGTCCTATTGAAGGAAAGGGAGACTTTTTACAAAACACTCTTTCCTATTCCACTCCTTGAAAAGAGACAGGGGTATGTGTCTTTAATGTAATGTACTTTGTACATCTATATATTCATTACTGCACATTAAGTTTAGTACGTGGATAGCCAAGAACTAAATCAATGTGCAGTAAGTTGCGCTACTGAGCAGTAGCACTGGTGCACGGGCTTTTTCAGATGCTAACTGCTTGGAAGCCTAATACTACTGCACAGTAGCGTATTAGCATGGTTTTTGTCTGGCATGCTCCTGTGCAGTATTATTAGGCTACTGCACAGTTAGCATCTCATGTAGGTGCACCCACAGAGACACAAAAGCTGAAAGCAAAATAAAGCCCTGATCCTTCAAGATGTTGCACATAAACAGATCAGACAGAAAAGCTTACAGATTTGGTAAAAACCTGCTGGCTAGTAAAGGAAAATAGCATTAATTGATGATGCAATGTAATCTAGTGCATGGGGCACTGGACAGAGGGGTAAGAGACCTTTGCCCTAATTTTACTACTGCCAGGCTGTATTACCTTGGGAAGCCATTTCACTTCTCTGTCTCTTCTCTCTTAGCATGCATCAACACTGCAGAATACCCACATGTTGTGACATGCCTTGTGGCTCAGATCCCACCAACCACAGTTAAAGCCTTTAAACACATGTTGAAAGGAATGCTTGTCTTCAGCTGGGGATGAGGGAGGGTGAAGGGCAGACCACATGTCCTTACTTATATACTTTTCCATGTGAAAGCAGCAACATTTTTTACCTCAGCTTGTGTTTAAGCCATCTTCTTGGGCCATTCTCACAACTCCTTCTGCCTGTATTACCCAGGTTTTTCTACCTCCTGACTTCCTACTTAATGTTGTATGTAATAGAAGCTACCAGCCACTCCACAAATGATTGCTTTGTGTTTAACCCTTTTCTTCCCAGTGGTCTGCTCAAGTTTCAGTGTAGCTCAGCTCAGATACACTGATCTTGGTGGTTTCTTCTGATCCTGGATGACACCCAGACCTGGCTACCCATGCCCCAGCATGACACTTAGCATCCTGGAATCATGCCCCTCCCCAGGGCATCCCACATGGGCATTCATGAGATTTGTGGTCAATCAAGTGTTGCAGAACAATGAAGTAGTACCTTCTGCAGTTGACATAATCACTTGTTCTTCCTCTCAGGCCCTTGGGCACGTGTTATCTGTGACCATAAGACAATTTGCAAAACCCAGTATCTGAAAGTCAGCTATTAATTCTGGCATGTTTTTTAGGCTTACCAGTGATGGGTAAGCCATAATGTTAATACGTCATGAACCTCCACCGCTACAACAGCAATCACTGACTCCCCAAAACGAAACTGGTGTGCAATGAATGGGAACAAGTTTAGGGTAGCCAGTTAGTAGTTGTTAATAGCAGTTTGCTCCTGGTCTGAAATGGTTTTCTCTGATTCAGTTGTTCTAGCACTAAGAGGTGGGTAAGTCTCCTCACACAGGTCCATGAAGGTCTGTTTCCTCACAGGGAAGTTCTGGAGTGATTGCTGTTTATCCCTGTCACTGAGCCGTCGTCACCCTGGAGGGCTATGTTCACCAGGCTCAGTGCCTGTGTTCTTCTCAGTCCCTTGCTGGGGGTTAGGGGTTTTGCCCCCTCTCTCCTCTTAAGAGAGAACACCCCCAGTCCTTAATCTGCCTCGCCTGCCATGGCTTTGATAAAATCAACAACAGGAGGAAACAGGCTAATGACAATCATGGTTCTCCTCAGAAGGTGGCAGGCTTTACTCCACCCATCCAGTTTAGTCTTATGTAGAAATATGCTATGCAGTATCTGGCTTTAAGGGCCAAGTTTGCGAGTGTCTCCACCCCTACACTCCCGCCTCATTCATCCAAATAATAATCGGTCACAACTAAAGCTGTGCCCCAGCGTTGTGGCTGTAAGCTGTGACTTTGGCTCCTGGTATCCTCAGGATTCCTTTTACTGTCAATATAAGAAAAGGCTGCTTCTCACCTGTCTGCTGTTGGAAGTGCTCTCTCCTCCGCTCACCACTGGATCTTGTTTTCTGGAAGCTTTTGAGACTTCTACCTGATTCTCAGAACCAATCGCCGGTTGTCTCCACTGCACAGCTGGGGCTGCTCCCTTCTGCTGTAAAGGAGAATGGTTCTTTATCAGCTGGCTCCTGCCTCACCTGTGAGGCATCTAAGAAGCTGCAACCATGCCCCCACCATAATGGCCAGCTTGAGCCAGCAGGTGCTTCCTGCGTTGGCTACCGGCTCTGTCACTCAACCCCGTTCTGCCAGGGATGAGCAGAAATGCCGTCCCAGCTCTGCTGCCCCTGTGCTGGAACTGGACATCTGGTGAGTTTCGGGGAACGGGACAGCCAGGGTGGGTGGCAAGCAGGGTTTCTTCCTTTTCTTTCCCCCGGCTTTGCCACAATCCCAGATCCTGAGGATGATGTAATTCTGCTGTTCTATTTCTGCACTACAACTCCTGGTCCACATAGGGTCCATACCTGTCATGAATGACTTCTACCACCTTTTATGCTTCATCATCATTTCCCAAAATGACATCCATAGTCTCACCAAGCATCTAACCTGCTGGAAAAACAATTTGCATGTAAGCAGGACCAGTTCAGCTAATGGATCCATGGCTGAGGCCCCAGTTAGCTTACAGAACTAGACATGCCTCAGATGAACATGTTACAGAAGGTACTTCCACATAATATTCTGGCAGGACACAAACTCCCTAACAGCCCACCCTGAACTAATCCCCAGAGTAGTTCCAAATGGTGTGGAGTTAAGAGTTCTGGGGTGTTCCCTGGGAATTTGAGCATAAAACATTCAGCATAGTCTTGAATATGACTACATAGGGGGCATGTGCAGCTCAGCAACATACACTTCAAGTGAACTTAGGTAACAACACATGCCTGCTGGTCTGTGAATCTGGACATGAGTACATACTGCAGTTCAGACATATCTTTTGCTCTGTCTACGTGGTTCTTTACCACTGAGAGAGTTATTTTCCCAAAGAAAACAAAATCAAACAGCTGCAACTATAAACTAAATATAAACCGTGGCCTGTGCAGCATCCCCTGACAAATCTGTCTGGCCTGCTGAATCCTCCAGTCGGGTGTCACCTCAGTCATTTACTTACCAAAGCAGCTGTCTTAAAATTGTATCAATTGGGAGACTAGGGAATAGAAAGTATTTGCTTATATACACAGTAACCTTTAGTACATGTCGGTGAAATACATCCCCCTTAATTTATTCTATGCATTTTTTTTAATTTCAAAAGGTTTTCTTAGAAGTACAGTTGGGGTTAACTTTTAGCAACACAGTACTCTCTGAATTACCTATCCCAGTGATTCTCAACCAGGGTGCTACAGGAAGCCATGCAATGTTAGGTGTGCAAACATGATTTACAAGATAAACTCAGAGATTTCAAATAGGAATCCATGGTGTTACAAACAGTTTGACCTGCTGTGGACTTCCTGGGTTCTTTACAACAGAAGACTTGCTTTATTATTTTTTTCAGTAAAAAAATGAGTGAAAACTAAGAGCTGGCATTTTCTAAGTGGTGCCTCAAGTCTAACAAGGGGTATCTCAAGTCTAAAAATGTTGAGAACTAGTGACCTATATCATTCTTCTCAGCAAGATTTGTCAAAAGACACGAGTTCTAACTTGTGGGGGAAGGGGAGAGTGGAAAGCTGTTTTTAAGAATTATATGTCCCAACTCTCAGTGGCATTGAGTAGAAAGATGAGCAGAGATGTACAAACTTTCAGGAAAATAAAAGGCTTTCCCCCCATTTTTCCTAAGGCCTCATGTGGAAAAGAATTAAAATTTGGGGGAAAAATTAAGGAAATTTTATAGTAAATATTTTCTCTCAGAATAAACAGTAAAAGAATGTGTTAGGTAATGTTAGAAATGATAATATAAACTACTGCATCTCAGTCTTTCATATTTTTTCTAAAAACCAATAAGTATTTCAAATGAAGTTATTTAATTTAAAAATGTATAGTAGTTGGCAGTTACCACCCCTATGCACTGTGAACCTGTATTCCATATGTATCTATATAAATCCATGGGGCATATTATTGCAGCCTCAGGTCAGCAGTGGACTCTGTGATGCATTTCAGTGGACAAATGTATAGGAGAAAGAATTAGAAACTCTGTGATAACATCTTTTTTGTTTACAATAGCAGTGAAACTGCACAGTAGATTAGTAATTAAATATGTGAAGTAATACAGAAGATTGGAAGTGGGAAAACTATTCATACTGTAGTCTCTAAGAAGTAGGAAGAAAAGCATTGTAAGAATAAAAAGCTGAAACTTTCTAGCAAAATGAGATGAAGGAGTATAGTAATGCCATCTACAAGTTAAGTAAAAACAAAGAACTACAGGTAATTGAAGGTCTTAAAGTTAAATGTGTATGACTCCCTGTACTTGATAAGGATAGATTTTGGGTTCACCTACAAAAATCTCTGAAAGTTTACAGCCAATTGTTTCTGCCATCACTTTGTCTGAATCAGACAAAAGTTTTTTCAGACATTCCTCAATTTATAGCCAAGATAAAAAAGTCAACTGTTTCTGAGAATCTAAGCATATCTCCACCCACAAGTGAATAAAAACTAAAAAGTGAAGGATTTTATTTGTTGATGGGAAGCATGAAAACGGCATACCCCCAGTGGCTGCAGGGGAATAGTGAGCTCCGGTAGGCAGCAGCGGTGCTGTTGGTGGCAGAAGCATGTGTGGAGCTGCCACAGGCAGCTGCAGCACTGTTGGTGGCCATCAGCAAGCATCTGTAGACGTTGCCAGCAGTGTTGGCAGCAGCCAGCTGTGATCGGTTCCAATTCAATTCGGAGAGACTAAGGGGTCCTCTGATTTGATTTGGATTTGGAGATTTGGCCACTGAATTGGGCCAAATCTCCGCTGAACCGAAGCTTCACACAGCCCTAGTGATCATAGCACTGTCACAGCCATTGAGTAGATTACTACATTTATGACTAAATGGTGGAAAAGTAGTAGAGTATTGAACTTTTTCGGGTATTTAGTTCTGGAGTGTATTTTAGGGATCTGCCAAATATATTGCTCCTAAAACCTGGCTGGGAAGGTTTTATCCAGCACAACCTCTACTCATCTGATTTCCTGTCTATTTCAGATTCTTAACATCTTTTGCAGCACCTGAAAGGAACGGGTAAGTTCTGTAGATGGAAGACTTTTATTCAGTTTATTCTACAGCATTCCTAATGTAGTTTTCATGATGTGGCAACTTTTTTTTCTAATGAGTAACTAGAGTTCAAAAGCCATTTAGGTAAAGAAGAGAAGCTGAGGTCATGGCTTCTGGATTGGTGAGATCGCTTGAGAAGCTACAAGAGACTATTTGGGACTGGAATAACTGATTCTCTACAGGCTTCCGCTGACATAGCAGTTTTGAATTACAGATCATTAAAATCTTAAACTGATGTGAATGAGGCTCACTCAAATTGCTTTCAAAATAATAGAAATAAGAGAGTTACTTATTAAATAAAAAGAGCAATTCTGCCTGCTGTGGATTTTGTACACAAACAAGCAAACCATAGTTAAAATGAACAGGACAAGAATCCAAACACAACAAAATAGTGCAAATACTGGTAACCCATTCACAGTAGCCTGTTAAGATTCTTGTTCACACATTGGATTTGCTTAGGTTTCTTTCAGATTACAGCATTTTTTGAAATGTTACCAGGCCTCCAATCCTGTGACATTCACAAGCATGCCTTACTGAAATAAACAACCTTATTGTTTTAGCTTGAATAAAGATTGCTCATGTGGTAAGGTTAGAAGGAATTGAACCCCCTGGGAATAAACACTGATCACAGAGAAACGAAAGATTAGTTTTGTAATAGATGCAATGGTATTGTGTAATGCATATGCCCAACAGCCAAAGAATCACATTGTAATATATTTTCTTGATTGTCCACTCTTTCACACTGCTATAAGAGATCTAATGTGCTAGAATTATAAAAGAAGCAGAGTGAACTGAAGAATCAGGTCTTTTGCACTAACCACCCACCCCAAATAATGGAAAAACTGCATTCACTTCAAAGACTGCTTGGTTTACATTTTTTTCTTTATGGAAGCTGAGCTGTTTCTTTACGGTGGGAAAAAACTTGAAACCAGGCCCAAACCTTTTTGAATTATTAGAAATCATGTTAACTTAAAGAATTTTTAGAATTTTGCAGCTAAAGGTGTTCATTAATGTATCATGCTGCTGCAGTTGGAAAAGGATGAGTTTTTCAGTGTCACCAATGGGCTGGTCATTTTTAGCCTCAATATGAGACTGATGGCCTTCCAGTAGATAGGGAAGTGATCAGTGAGTCCAGAGATGACTAAAGAGGCCAATCCAAGATCTCCATTTTCAACTACAGACTTAGCAAGTAGTTTCAGGAGGAAGAAGTGGATCTTGGTGATGTTGGGTCACAGTTCTTTCTCATTATCCGTCTTATCTATCTGCCTCCATAATGAGGCGAGTTTGCTTGAAATGGCTGATGCCTTGTTGTACATCACAGTGTCACTGAGGATGATTCAGTGCTTGAGTCTCCCAGGTATTGTGAGGGACCAGGGATAGCATAGGTGAACTGGCTTAATGGTTAGACCACTGAGAGAAAGCAGGGGCCTTGGGGCTGGGTCAGAAGACAGAAGCCATACCCAACCAAGCCCAAAGGAAAACCCAGGGCCAGAGTCTACAACATAGTCCAGCATCAGGATCTGCAGATCAGATGCTGAGTACTGCCTCTATTTTGAAAACAACATAAAGGAAATGATCTTTTAGCAGCTCAATTTAGCTAAATCTGAACAAAATTTCATGGGACAAAGAAAAAAGTATTTTTGTAGCCTGAGGACATTTTAACAGCTGAATCTCAAATGTTTTCTGCAGACAAAGGGAGGTGATGGAGCTTCTCAAAGGAACAGTTCCAGGAAATCTTTATTAGAGCAAGTATTCAATAGCTGAAAGGCAGTGATTGTTATCAGCACAACAAAACCAAGGAAAAGACCCCAAATGCGCTAACTTCTAACAAAACAGCACTAAGAAAATTAAGAATTTCTTGTTGGCTGGACTGTGGTTGAGTATTGCATTTAAAATAATTGTAGCTATAAAAACAGAACTACTTATGGAATGAGAAAAAAAATAGACGTAACAGCAAAGGTAACCTATTTCAGAAAGTTAAATTGTTGGCCATCACTAGAATACCTAAGAAAGCTCTATGTAAATTTGATAGCAATAACAAAGTTCCCAAAGGATTGCCTTCTTGTTATTTCTAATATTTCTCTTTTATCTGGGAAAGAAACTGCTTAATTAGTGCATGGGTAGGGGAGATTTTTTTCCCCTCTGTCTGGTATGGCTTTTAAAGCTGCTTTGTTTTAGAGTTTTTTATATTATGTACTAGATGGCTGGGATTTGTTTGTCTGAATGGAGATGTCAGCTATCGGAACACCTTACCCAGGCATGTGGTAAATTCTTAAAAGTAATGACTTCTTTAATTCAGGACTGGGTTCTTTTTCAGTGGTACACTCTGGTTCAAACACACATTGGGCCTGCTGTTGTCACAACCCAAAGGGTGTGATTTTTGTTTGTGTGTGCTTCGGCACTGCTAAATTGTCCCCGCTAAATTGCAGCTTCCTTGCACGGTGGAGTTTTCTGCTGCAAAAGAGAACCCCGGTGCAAGGGAGAATTTCCCACCAATTTGACGCTTTCTTTGCAGGGTGCATTTCTTTGTTGCAGCACAGAGATGCTCGTTGCAAAGAGTTCCCGCCATTTGTATGCTAATTTGAGTCCCATTATTGGCCAGTTCTAAATTATTCACACGTGGCGGCTAGTGATTGGCTTGCTAGCCGTATAAAAGGCTTGAGTGGTTTCCGCCCAAGTTGGAGGACTCCACGAACAAGGGAGGAGGAGACTTCATGCTGTGTGAAGATCTCTAAGCGCTGCGGATCCTTACAGACCCAGCGCATTTCAAGCAGGCAACAGAGGTCTGATCAACCTCTACCTCTCCCCGTCGCCGATAGATTCCTAGACGTATCCCCTCCCGCACGCAACGAACCGGACCCACGGAGCCTAGCAAACTTCGTGTGAGTCCTTGCCGGATGACTCCAGAGCTCTTCTACCCGGGTTCGAGTCCTGCAGGTTTACTTTCCCGTCGCCGAAACCCTTTGCGACGTACCCTCGTATTTTTCATCTTCCCGTCGCCGGAACCCTATGCGACGTACCCTCGTGCCCTGCAGGTTCAAGTTTTGTTTTCTTTTCTCTCTGTAACCGCAACTTAAGCAAGTTTTCCAGCCTACACCACTGCCATCTCGGTGTAAGTAAACAATCTTTTAAACTACCGCTACGCATCCGTGCCTAATTCCAGCTCGAAGGCCTTCCCTCTCCGCCCCGGCGTGCCCGGGCTGCTGGCCACAGCCCGCTTGCAGCGCGAAAAGGGCTCGGGTCGCTCCCGGCCCGCACAGCTGTAAGAAAAGCTATGGCCTTTATTAATGTTATACTCTATCCATAATCTATTCATCTATTTTGTGATATATTCTGATTGTTCTCTTCTGCTGCTGCTTCCTTTGTCAACTTTCAACATATCAGGAATCCAATATTGGCTTCCCTTTCACTTGTCTGAATTCTTGATTAAGCTGCCAGTTTTTAGAATAGAAACCCAGGTTTGCAAACATGTAATAGATCTTGAAGACAAATCCTTGGCACTGGTTAAATATGTAATTAAATTGTAATTTTCTGTCACACACACCTACCATTCTTTATTGTTTTAAACCAAATCTACAACACATGAAAACAGTACCTGTCCTATACATCACTCACAGACAGAGCTTTCACAGAAGTTTCAATATTATTTTATTTTTAGAGTAACACATAATATACCTAAGCAGAATATTTTGCAAATACTAGCATTAATGTAAATTGCCCTTTACTGGTTATACAGGTTTTGGATCTTTTTCTTGTCACAGAGCATTTGCAACATACTATGTATTGGCTACTCAGAAATATTTTTAAGTACCTTAAACTAAAAGCCAAAAAAAAAGCTTTTAGTTTATAAGGAGTATAAACCTGAACCTTTTTGTAGCTGTCACCAGATATAGAGCACAAGATGATATATTATGGTACCATGGCTTGTTCTAGCTTTCTAAGGAGCACACAAATCAGACAGCCCTCTGCTAGGTTACTAGTAATACAGAAAAAACTCTCTCTTGTAAGAGGTAGATTAGAAATATTAGCTATACTGAAAAAAGTACAGCTTGAGATTAAAGTTAAATGGGGGAAAACTAAGAGGTTGTTTATCTAAGTTAAATCAAAATTAGGCAACCAAAATTATTCTAAATGTATATATCAATGAGAAAGTAAAAAGGAAATTAGAAAAATAGAATGCCTGGCAGTGGAAGAGTATCTTGAAATGGATATTACTGAAAAGCGGTGATATATTAGATTATAAAACAAAAACAATTCAAAAAGACCAGAGTAGGTCATAAATATAAGGAAGTAATACTGTACATAAAATAGTCCACAGAATATGGAGAGTTCAACTGGATTGGAATGTACAAAAGAAACTTGTTGAGTATTCATTGGGCCCTGGTCCTCCAGACCTACTGGAGAGGACCAGAGGGCTATATTAGGGTGAGAGTAATTAAAGAGCAGGCAGCTCTGGAGGAGGGGCAGATTACAACACACAAGATGGCTGCAAGCCGGCCCAGGCAGACACGGGCATGAAAGGCTTGCCCCATGTGGCCAGTCCAGCTGGGAAGGTGACTGCCTGCAGCTGCAGAGGCACTGCATCCATGCCGCTGCCTGACCAGCTGCCACCCATGCACAGCAGGCAAGGCTGTCGTGGAGCCACAGCTGTCTGGGAAGGCCCTGCCCCCTGGCCTGGCCCCACTATCTGCCCAGCTTGCTCAGGGCTGAGCAGGACTGGCTGCAGGCACTACTGAGGGCAGGCATGGAGGGGCTGGGCTGCCAGGTACAGCTCCATGACAGCCCAGCCTGGCCTAGGTGCAGGGAGCAATCTGGGCACACAGCTCCTGTAGCCACAGCCAGATTGGAAGGCCCCTGCCCCCATGGCCCAGTCTGAGCCAGCCGTGCCCGCCCTCAGCAGTGCCCACAGTCTGGCCCATCTCAGCCCCCCAGGCCCAGCCCTAGCATCAGCCCTGGGCAAGGCAGGC